TTTCAACAAATGCAAATTAGTGGTATACAATACAAACTGGCTTGTAAAGGGTTAATATTTGATTAACCCTTTAAAACCTGAGCATATTGGTTTGATTTATTTAAGGGCAATGGGCATTGAAAGAAGAAATGACCAAAATAATTTGTAAGAAATTAGTAAAAAGAAAAAAGTCAAAACAAGAAAATTTGTTTTAAAAAAAAAAGAAAATAAAGCTCAAAACAAACAATGAAAGAAATGGTCTGGAAAGAGTGCTTAACAATTTAAATAATTCTCTATCATAATTTTAAAATGTAATAATAATTACAAATATAGTTTTTTCTAGCTTTTCCCCCCAAGTTTTTGTTTTTAAATAATTTTCTAAATCTATTTGTGTGACATTTTTTACCAAGTTGCTCATTACCTTTTTTCCCATGTTTCTGAAAGAAATCGCACCAATGTGCTCAGGGTTCAGAGGGTTAAATAATAATTTAAACTAATTAAAAACATTTTAATGAAAAGAATGAAACAAAAAACAAACAAACTGGAAATTGATTGATTTAAAAAAAAATCATACTTTTACCAGAGGGAAGGTGATGCAAGAGGAAAATAAAAAAATTGCACTCAAAATAAATAAATTAATTAAAATAAAATAATGCACCAGAATCAATGTTGTGGGTTATGATTGACCCTTCTCAGACTGGGATAATAATAGTCAAATCATCTCATTAACTGTGTTAGTGTGTTAAAGGGCCAGTGTGTAAAATGGGTTGAAAACAGTGACATCAGTGGTCAAATTTTAGATTGCAGGGCTCACTCACTTACCCCTCCCCTCGGGTAAATGACGGTGGCCTCGTAGGGAGAAAAAGCCTTGCGCACAAGTTTTTCAGGAGTAGGTCTATCTAGCGACGAGGTGAATATTTATTTAGAAATCTAAACCATGTTACAATATTGTAATGAATCCCTCACAAGCAGGAGACCAGAGGAGCGTACGGGAAAAAGGCCAGTTTATTTGAGCACTCCAAAAACACTCCAGGGGGTAAAAGACTCCGTCCCAAACTCTGACTCTTCTGACGTAACACAAACACACTTCATACACACATACTCGTTTACCATAGCGAGTGGGGACCCCCCTCCCCTCTCTGCTCCACCAATCTCCAGCCCGCACACTGACTGACAGCGTAGCCGGTAAACAGAGCTCAGCTGTTTATTTAGCCTAGCAATATCTCCGGACTATAGGAGCTGATTTTGAAGAGTTTCTTGTAGCGGACACAGACCCAGAGCCATACCTGTTTGAGCCGGAGCATACAGATGAGGAACTCCATGTGTTTGATGCTGAGCGGGTGAGAAGAGAGGCTGAATGCACAGAATGGGATTCGGTGCTACTGCTGCCATTGTTGGGGAGATATATCATCAGGAGGAAAAACTTCATAACTAAAAAAACTTTTCACTACTCTCTATCGACGAACTACTAACACTCTCTGCTGTTTCCTCCTCCTTCTTCCTTCCTTCCGCTGTCTTCGTTGGTTTATTTATACATGCAAAACGTGTTCTCTGGCTGGATTGTCTGCTCGGTCTGCCGTACATACATGGCGGCGCAAGATGGCGACCTCTCTAGAGCAAGGCCCTTGCTATATATATATATATAAAAGCATAATTATAAGGCTACGAAAACCAAACGAATTTTATTTTATAGCGATTATACACTTGTATAAACATATTAATGGGTAGAATATTCAGATTCAGATTGACAATAAACCATGCCAAATATTACACACTGGCCCTTTAAAATGTTTTTTTTTTTTTTTAAACAAATACAAACTGACATGTAAAGGGTTAATATTTGATTGAAAAATTATTTAATTAAAGATGTTTTAATAAAACAAAATAAACGATAAATGTGACACATATGGTCGTTTCACAATTCTATGGTCATAAATCAACATGTAGGACTTTCTTTCTTAGCAGGGTTAAGATTAATAATTAACCTTTGCGCCCTGTTAAGAAAAATACATATAAAACTACAGATGTTATTTGGCACAAATAAACAAGTTTCAATCACAAAATTTGATCAGATTTTGCACCTTGTCCACTTTTGTGTCAGGATCAGCTGCAGACTGAGCATTAAAGTGTCCACAAATGAGGACAACAGGTCTAAGTTAAGCAGAATTAAGTATAAGGTGCAGGAAACCCAAAATATTATGTCCTCATATGGGGGCACAGGGTCTCAGGAGGATACGAAACTAAATGTCATAAATGTAGAAAGGGGTTTGTGCTCCAGCTCTCTTTCAGCCAAGGAGTCTTTGGCCTGAAAGACAGCGGTTGAATCAGTTAGCTCTCGCTGTAGCTCTACTGAGCTTATACATTGTGAATAAACAGGCAACTTGACCATGAACGAGGGGTTAAAATTAGTTTTATTATTATTTGATAGAGCAGAAAAAATCCAAAAAAACAAAAACAAAACAAAACAAATACTTCTCATACATTGTTTTCTTTTCCATTTGGGCCACACTGCATTTCGCAGAGCTTCGACCCCAAACAAACGGAATGGTGATATTGTTGTCAAACAGCAGCAGGCAGTAGTCAGGACAGCACAGGGTTACACTTAGCAGGGCACAAATGATGGGCTCGTTCCAGATTGCTTATTTTGCATCCACAAGACGCGGTCTGCTACCTTCTGCCTGTCAGGAATGTACAGACAACCTGGAAGATTTCCGATGCTACTTTGAGACAGAAATACAGAAATCCTGACCAATTTAAATTAAACTTTTCATATGCTTGTATTTCTATCAGCAATGTACACACTGTCGTTGCACCATCCTAAATGAAACCCGAACGTACAGTGATGATACCCCAAGTACAGAGGGATGAACGTCAACTGATGCCCAGTTACCTAATGCAGTGCACCATCATTCAGTACGGATCCTGATAATAATCAGTGAGCTAAAGAGTCAGGATACAGGACACAAATCCTTACAACGTTGCATTAGATCATCACCTCGTGGATGAATTATGAAATCAAAAGTGAGGCTACAGGGCAGCAAGACACCAGGTTTGTAATTACATAGTGATGAGATTATCCTCACTATTGTTTCAATATGAAAACAACTAAAAAATGGACAAATACAGGATACTGGGAAAATAACTGCTGGGATGGTCAACCCTCTTTTGTCAGTTGGATTTAAGTTTTTTTTAACATATTGCTCGCAAAACATCCAGATTTTGAAATATGCACAAACATTTACCCTATTTTTACTGCTTTAATTCAACACATCAGTATTTTAATATTTTTAATCTTCAATTTAGTGACACTTTCCGAGAGGCCACAGAAATGGCTGAGTAAAGCTATTGCTGAGTGGTACATAGGGCTGGGTATCGTTTCAAAATGATCCCGATACCAATAGAGTACTTCATTCGATACCCATGCTGTGAATAATAATCGTGAATGTTTTGGTGGCATCTCGGCACGCTGAACTGCCAACTCTGTTACCCAATGGTTAGTAATGCTTTGACAACAGCGTCGGGACGTTTTGGTGTCTGTAAGACTCTGTTGGGACTGTTTAATGGCTCCAAGGTGGATGTTAGCCGCTGCTGCCCATGTTAGCACGTCGTAACCGAGCAGACGTTGAATTGACTGTTTACCAAGGAGAATGGCTCCAGAGATGGCAGCAACAGAAAGTTTGTTGGAACAATTTAATGGCTCGGAGTTGGATGTCAGTCGTTGCTGCCTATGTTAGCACGTACAAACCAAGTAGACGTTTAATTCGGAGTTGGATGTTAGCTGTTGCTGCCCATGTTAGCACGTAGGAACTGAGCACTGAACTGTCAACTTGCAGAGGAGAGTGGCTCCAGAGACAGCAGCAACAGAAAGTTTGTTGGGACCGTTTAATGGCTCGGAGTTGGATGTTAGCCCCTGTTGCCTATGTTAGCTTGTGCTAACTGGCAACAGGGGCTAACATCCAACTCCGAGCCATTAAACGGTCCCAACAAACTTTCTGTTGCTGCTGTCTCTGGAGCCGCTCTCCTCTGCAAGTGTTTATTAGGACCGCGTGACAGCTCGGTGTACCACGTTATCCACTGCTGTGTTAACTCTGGCTAACAGGGCAGAAGCTGAACTATGTATTTGCCGAGGCTCCTGAGATGGCAGCAACACAAAGTTTGCTAATCCAGCGGGAAGCTGGGACGGTCCGGCATCAGCCTCGCTGCACAGAAAGGATCGAAAGCAGGTATCATTTGACTGGAGACGTTTCGATACTACTTGGTATTGGGTTATTTCGGGCAATACCTCAAAAGGTATGGAGTACTGATACCCAGCCCTTGTGGTAGGGTTAAAGAAACTGGACCACCCCAGTGACTGAAATTAAAGACAGCATATGGTTAATAAAATAACTCCATGAGTTTACTGTAGGACATATTGTACTTCACTAGCTTATCCTGTGCTGCTGCAACCTGATAAAAATGCACTATAGCTCATGTGAAAGGCATAGTTCGCTCAATTCAAGGACCCGACATAAATCATACACACCTTAATGTTAAAGACTAAGAAGTTCATGTCATTTGTTGCTATAGGGGTTTTTGCATAACTACATTCTGAAAGCTGTCCAGCTTCTCTAAGACCAATCGCAAGGTGAGTGGGAGCCACTGGACACACAAGAGAAAACAAATCATTTTTAAGTGGAGATCCATTCAAACTTAGGGCATAAGCATATATCTTTACTAACATGACCCTATAAATAAACCCAGAGACAGTTTGTCTATAGAAGAAAAAAAATAATGCACCACAACCTATGACTAAAAGCAAAAACAATGTCAAAAATATGACATTCCTTACACCCCCTCAGTCTAGCATGAATTCATGTTTATATCCAGAGAGGGTTCAAATAAACTAGACACCTTCTAGCAGAAGGGATTCCATTTGGGCTCCACTAGTTCTTTGGAAGGTTTTTCTTTCTTTTTTTTATCTTTTTTTTACAATATTCAATACGAATAGTCCTCCAAACATATGCTCAGTGTCTTTACAGGAGTTAGTGAAACCTTAATCTTTATTCTTCCTCTTTGTCTTAGAAAAAACAAAGTATTTAAAAGTAGGCCACAACATGGAACCCAGCAGATGTAAAACCACCTCAACAGTAACATTAGCCTGTAAATTCAGACCTCGACAAGAGGCCACTTCCAAAGTATCAGGGAGCACAATATTCCAAACACAGTATATGACTTACAGAAGAAAAAGACAAAATCCTAACATTCAGCCATACAAAATAATCCAACACACATCAACTTCTCTACTACACGCGCCGTGGGGTTAGAGAGAAGAGAAAGTCTGTGTGCAGATAGAGATCATTTTTACAGTCCTTTTTTTCATTTTATTCATTTTTGCAAAGCTGAAGCAGTTATTTTGTGGATGGTCCTCGAAGCTCGACCCACAATCCCTGTGGCGAGATCTTCAGTTAAGTTCGGTTCGGCCAAAACGTGGGCCTGAGTCTGACTGGCTCAGACTGGAGAAGGGTAGAACGTAAGGCGAAGATTTTAATGGTGTGTAATAGTGATTATTATTTTTTCCCCCAGCCTAATCCAGAGGCAGGGGGAGCTTGGAGATTTTTCCTCTTGGTGCGACAGAGAGGTTCAACCAATATACACGGAGGGAGAGGCAACATCGCTGGAGAAGTTTGTAAAATTGTACACGCCCATGTAAACCCCAACCCTCACAAAAAAAAGGGTACCCAAATGATCTCAGAAGCTCGAGCTGTCGCTGCACAACTCCACTTTGGGATGAAGGACTTGGGTAAGGAAGATGGTAGCAGAAATATCTGAGGAAGAGCTGAGGGAACACCTCTATCCAACAAAAGACTAGGCAGATTCTCCCCTGCACCGTTTTGGCCAGAGGTGGAGCCCATAGAAAGGATTAGAATGATCATGAGAATGGCTGTTATTGATATTAAGAGGGTAATAGTTATGACGTCAGTAGGGAGCAAGATTGCATTATTTCCATGTGTTGGCTGCTTGGGAGATAGAACGGGAGGGAATCATGTCCAGCAGGTACTCTCGCTGACGCTCGACCGCAGAGGTGGTCTTATGGGCAGACAAGCTTGGGTTCACATAGGCCATAGTCACACCTGTCAAGAAACAAAACGGAAGTGGTGAATGTACTGGACATGGAGCTGTTTGTACATTTATTCTATGATGAAATATTACACACAATATTTTGACTCATGTTGGAAGAAGGCAAAGATAAACCAAGAAGTTGGCATAAAGCAAGATGAGTGAAAATTTCTAAAAGATTTTGCTCAAATGAATATTTGAGGATCCAAAAAAGACAAAAACATCTATGCAGTAATTCTAGAATGAAAAGGTCTAGCCTGAGAAGATGGGAAGAAAGAGAGTGACAGTGCCAGAGAGGGATCCACCTTACAAGAGAGGGATTACCCCAAAGAGGAGCAGAAAGCGAGAACGGGTGAGGAGCATTCTTGGCCTAACCTCGTCTCACGTTTATCTACCTGTAGTGCCACCGCTCTGCTTCTTCCAGGCAGCCACGTTGCCCTGGTTACTGCTGCTGGCGCTGACCTTTGCCCCCTGCTGCAGCGGGCGTGCTGCAGCGTGCTTACCTGCCCTGCTGCTCAGCGCCGCTGCCGTCATCGCACTCTGCAGCTGAGAGGAGGAAGTGAATGCGTGGGCCATAGCACGGGAGCCCACTGACTGGATGTTGTGTGACAGATGACTCTGTATAGAAAGACACAGTATGTGAGAAGTGCTGTGTGTTGGTACAGATGTTAACATGCAGATGTTTTTGCTGCTGATTTAGGATACAATGCTTTTAAACGTTTTTAAACCACAGGGCTGCTCCGTCATGAGGCCATGCTAACCTGTTTAATGGAGTGGTGGGCAGCCACAGGTCTGTGCTGCATAGCAGCCCTGACATGCTTGTACTGCTGGGACACCAGCACCTCACTCTTGGACAGTGAGGGAGAGGAGGTGGTTTTAGAGGAAGATGAAGAGGAAGCCGCCTGCTGGAGGATACGCTGCTCAATCTCTTGCTCCTGTTGGAGTGCCTTAACAAAGGCTGCCTTCAGCCGATTGGTGTGCTCAGCCTTCAGGGCCTTCTTCTGATTGGACGACATGCATTGGTCACAGAGGATGGTCCCAGCCTTCTCCTTTCTCCAACGGGAGGTAAAGTCCGTCTTACACTGGGCACAGGTGTATGGCTCTTTGGGAATGGTGCTGGCAAGGGCAGCAGCTGGGCCCAGATTACCTATAGGAAAAACAGAGAGCTTCTTCAGACAAGATGTAAACATGTATATTCAATCTTCCATTACACTACAACATGCCCAGACTCACCAAGTGGAAAAATGTACCCACCCCTGCCGTGCATCTCCAGAAGTTTCTGCACCACCTCCTCCAGCCCCAACAAGTAGATGAACTCATTATTGGCTGCTGAAGGCAGGAAGTTGAACTCTGGGGCAGGAGGTTTAGGTGGAGGGATCTCCAGCAGTGTCTTCTCCAACTGCTTGCGCAGTGCGAGCTTAGCAGCTGCCTGCCGGCTGGCTGGGGAATCATTGATGCTAGAGTTGGGTGACGCTGAAGAGCCTTTTAGGCTGGTTGGAGAGGCCTGGACACAAACACAACAGAAACCACTTCAGCAGCTACACAAAAGGCAGCGACTACACATGAGGATGTTATAACTGTTATGGAGCTTAGCAATGGTAAAAGAGCAGCTATTAAAGGGAACATTTTCCAATGGTTTCTATGGACAGTGTATTGATGACTTGTACATTGTGTACTCACCTGAGGGATGTTGACCATGACGTTACTGTTGGCCACATTAGCCACCCGAATGAGTCCCTGCTGAATGATCCTCTGGCCCTGGACCTGGACATTGGGCACAGAAGCCCTGGGAGCCAGCAAGAGTGGAGGGGGTCCTGAACCGCTGTGCTGCTGCTGTTGATGGCGTAGACTGGCTATCTGCTGGGGAGTCACAGCAATAGGCTGATGGCAGCACACACAGAAGCAGCCATCACAGATTCACAAGGAGAGCGAACATAAGAAGAAAATTAACAAAAAGCTCTTGAAATCTAAACCTCCTCAGATGAGTACACTTAACATGCTGGCCAATGTGATGACTGTAATCATCTGAACGGCCCCTCACACTAACCTGGGCCCCTCTGACCAGGGGTGGCATGACAATCTGAGAGTTGTGTTTGGACGGGACGTGTTGCCCACCCCGCACCAACGGAGGAGGGATCACCGTGCCTGAGCTTCGACCTGTCACCTGTAAACACAACAGTGTAAATATACAGTTAATGACAACTAAACATGTTTAACATTATGCTACATAGGTACTGCATTTGATTTTGTGCGATTTGGGGTTTTGATGTAAAAACCAATGAAGAAACAACGAAATCTGCCTTATACTTGTGTTGCTTGGTATCCAATTTTGTGTAAGATACAATGTATAATTACATCATACATCAACCCCAAGGTGTAAAACAAAATGTAGTAACTACCTGGAGGGGTCCTTTGCTTGATGTGATGCTACCTCTCACCAGAGGAGGAGGAGTAGCTACAGAGCCAGTTGCCTAGAAGTGAACAGGTTACAGTATTAGTCCATCAATCTGTATGTACTTGAAGGAATGAAGCAGCAACAATTCCCTCTGATGCATCAATCACCTCCGATAAAACAAATAACAATCAACACTCTCCTGCGTATTCTCGGGTACCTACCTTCTGCACAGTGCTCTCCTTCTGGATCTGGCTCTGTCTTAGTTTCTTCAGCAGCACCAGCTTGGCCTCTTGGAGTCTCAGTTCCTCCTTCAGCTGTTTGATGATGCGCTCCCTCTCCTCAGGAGAACTCTTCTACAGACACCGTATTAGATGAAAGGACACTAAGCAGACATACGTGTACAATTTGAGGCCACTTTATGTCAGTAGCAACTAATCTAAAAATGTAGGATCTTCTCAACAGCTATCTCATATGAACTCCAGTATCAGGTCTGGGCATTGTTTCCCTTTTACACATGTAGCACAAAACAGGAGATTGTCTGTGTCAGAAGTGTTCTTATCTACTGAAAATACTCAGTTTGGTTTAGCCAAAGGGTGACACCTGGGTAGAGCGTGCAGGAGGCAGGACATGACGTGTTTTACACTGCAGTCACGTAGCCGGTTTGTAATTTGGTCATAAACAACAGAGACTCTTGGCATTTCTTTAATTTGCCTGACAATTTTCCGAATCTCGTCATTTCTCCAGTTTGATATTTTCATCGCTACCTTCGTGTTAAGGACCCTTCTTTTTCACTCTTGGATGTTTGTTTTCCTCTGGTTTCACTCAAGCAGCATTACAGAGTTGTCATCAACACGCCTACTCGCCCGCTGTGAATTCTCTGAACCATTTCCTGCTCTATTCACACATGGGTTCAATCAAACATTGCAGGGACTTTGTACTAGGGGGCAGGCAGGGTAAAGTCCGTTTAATGTCCGATCCAACTGATTCAGGCATTTGCATTTTCACATACAGCTCATCCAGGTAATGGAAAGATAATTTCAGGCTTGCAGTGCATGTGTTAAAGGGGTTTATGACTGTGTTGTATGCAAATTTTAAATGTTGTTTTCTTACCATAAGTTTTTCTGTGTCAGTCTTTGTAAAGCAGTGTCCATTCATGAGAGGGCTGGATGGCTCATTGTCTGACAACACGATCACATCATCTGGCGATGGCGGCTGCCGCTCATTCTTAATGTCACTGTGGCGAGAAAGAGAAAAAGGCAGAAAACAATTACATTGAGAATGAGTTTCATCGTTCAGTCAAGATTCAAAACTGTATTCTGATTCAGTCCAGAACACTGCAGTTACCATTAACTGCAACTAACTTGTAGTTCTGTCCTATATCCAGTAGATGGCAGTATATAATTATGATTTCATCGTCCCTGTTATAGTGCAAATGTGTACTGGGACACACAAGAAGACAAGAACCAAGAGATCAATAATGGAGTAATGGCGGCAGGGGAAGATCGCAACAACCCATTATCTCCAGCGTAAGGTAACATCAACGGGCAGACGGTCTGCTCTCTTCCTTCCCACAGACACAGCAACATCAGTCCCAAACAACATGCAATCAAAGGGCAAATTAACTGCATTTTTGTTTTTTATAGGAGGAAAAGGCTTAAAGCCTTTGATAAAATGTTAAGTGGCTTTTCCTGAGGACTAAGGAGAACAAAGGCGACTCGTGGTGAGCTAGATATGCATCAATCTTGAGAGGGGTGGAGATTAGAAGTACAGGGTGGTTGTAATTTTACAGCGCGTGGACCATGGCGGAAGAATAAATCTGCCTCCATCACAGTGGGGATCCTGTCAGGTCCTGTGGGTTGGTGCGTAAGAAAATAGAAGTCGGGGTGGTAAGGAGAACTGGCGGAGGATGAGGTAAGTTAGGGAGTGTGATATATGACAGTATTTAAAAAGGTAGAGGTTTGGGTCATGATGTGACGTTATGCATGCAGACACACAGTTAAAGTGATATATTTATTCAAACGCTTTCGAGCGAGGCTTCAGGGCTTCAAGCTTAGGCCCAGTTTTACCACCCAGACAGGGCCTCACCCCTCCCTACCTCCGTGGTGAGGCCTGTGGCCTAGCCCGATCGGCACAGCCTGGGCCTCAGCTCTCCCCTCCCTCCCAGCTGCCGACACTAGAGTCACAAGCTGAGCAGAGCGGAGGTCCGCCGGAGACACTGGAGAGGGTGACAGTGAGGGGGAGGGGAATACATGGCCAGGAGCCAACCTATTGTGTACACTCTCTCTCACTCAGTCACTCACTCAGTCACTACTTCACACACCCCTCCCCCATCCTTACTTACTTGTTCATCTTTTATACTCCAACTCACTGACTCAGTTCTTCACACTTTTTTCTTCCTTTTGCACGCTCCTGTCCTCAGACACGTTTCTCTGCTACCCTCTCCTTCCCCACAACAGCTGTCTACCAGCTCCCCTCAACAGACAATGCATGCTCAGTTCAACGAGGTCAACTCTTTGACAATAACAATGTTGTTTATACTTACATTATGTGGTGATAATTTCAGGAGACCAAGCAAACAACAACAAACATTTACTGTCACGTTACCTTGCCCAGCTGCTACGAACACAATTGAACCCTGTTAATACCTCACATTGCTACATCCTGATAAGCACTTCCTTGATATGTTTCATTCAAATTTAGAAAGATGTCTCAACACCCTGACGCTTTCAGCAATGATATTCTGAGGGATTACACAGTCTAAAGCACAGCTGAAGACTCAACAGGCAGTGGTTTTCCTCCCTAGCTCTGTTTACATTCCTTACATATGATATGATAAACTGTCAGACATTAGTAGCATCAGAGAGGAATCAAGAGCTTCATCATCTTTCACAAGCGAAACCCCGATGGCGACCCGATGCCTTGACTGACTTGGCCTCTGTCTAAAATGACACGGGCTAGCTTGTGATGGTTGCTACCACTCTATTGAGAACAGCTTACACAAGCATCACAACACACAGCAGCTTGGTTATGTAACGTCCAGTATTTCTGCATGCCTCGGCTTCCCCAATCATGGCTTCCCAATGACCCCATATAGGATTGCTGAATCAGTCATTATTAGGGGCAGTGGGACTCTCTGATTAAAATGCAATGCAAAACTAGATGTGCCATTTCAAGCTACATCAGCCTGCGCTATAAATAGGCAACAGGCCTGGAAAAGATGTGTTCAAATATGCTGTTAAATTGTCTACAAAGCATGAAAAATACATACAAAACTACATCTCATACGTGAACTGATTCAAGACATGTTCAGATCAGTTACTGTTTCATTTCCAGCATGTATGCAATGTAGTTGGCCTACACAGACCAAGTCTCCTGCACACAACACTAGGGTAATCACACTGCAGTGAGTAAGCATGCAAACACATGCTGAGGGTTAAACAGGGGCCAAAGGTGACACCACAAACGGGGCCAACACACTTTGAGCTGAATCACCTCTCTGTTCCACTTAGACTGCCATCACATCAGTGTGTGTATCTATCGCTCTACCAAACACGTCACATGACATCAGGCATTTCTCTGTGTGGTCATGTGACACACCCACCACCCCTCCTGGCCCCTCCTTCCTCTAACTGCTCCTTCCAATGTGGAAACCATGGTAACGGCCAGTTGGAACCAGTTTGTGACACGTAGCCTTCATTTTGTGTGAAGTGTGAGGCAGAGTTCAGGTGCTGCTGTGGGAGAAAATGGAGCCCAGGCCTCAGGAGCCTCAAACTTTTTCAAAATGGGGGCAGGCTGCCGACAACCACACGGCGACTTCCTGTATGGCTCCTGTCAGACCACTCGCTAGTGCAAAGTTAGAGAGAAACCCGAAACTCTAATTGACACATCTCTAAGCACAACCATGCACTGTACATGTCAGCGTGAAATCCAAGGCCTAGAGTGCATAAATAATCCGACAGAAGTTCTCAAACAAACTCACAAAAATGCAGCTTGCATGAAGTACTGCTCGCCATTCACATCCGTTCCCTTTAACACATACGATGATCCACCATCAGCTCAGCATAGCCAAACAAAAAAAAAAAACAAAAAACACAGCAGCAGCAATCTACTCTTTGCATCTTATACCCACAGAGATATAAACTAGCTAGTAAGGAGATTATGGTGCATTTTGTCCAGCTGGAAATACTTACAAAGGGTTTATTGTGGACCAAGTTGGCTGACTGTGCAGTACTGAGGCCCAGTGCACAGGAATAGATCTAACTGTTTAAGGTAAAGTGTTTACAGCATTCCTTTCAGCATTGTTCACAGACTAATGACTTTGACAGTATCATGTAAACTGAACAACAATTATGTTCCTTATGATCAACAAGCTCCTTCCCCCATACGCAAGAACGCTGTGAAGCAATAATATTACTAATTAATATTACATCATGAAAACAGCCAATGACAGTCAAACCCAATGATCTTTCCCCTTGTCTCACCTTTTGGATGTGCTCATGTCAACAGGCTCGTCTCCAGTCTGCACCTCCACCTTGATAGTTGCCTTCACTTCCCCAGATTTCAGGATGCTGGCTGCTACCTTTGCAGCCTGCTCACTCCTCAGCCTGACGCCCTCGCCTCCAGATCCCACCATGGCCAGGGGACCTCCAGTTGCATCACCTTTCTCCAGCTTGACACGTTTACTGTCCAAGTCCTCCAGGGGCTCGGCAAGAGGCGCATGGTCCCTCTCCAGAGCCCGCTTCTGGCTGCGCGTTTGACGCACTGCCTCCTCTGACATGGCTGCTCTCACCCTGGAGAGAGATGGCAGAAATGGTTACAAACTGTAAACACATTCACAAAACAAAAAACAAACATGGATTCAAATTAGACAGCAGAGCACAGGTTTGGACAATAGATAAATTAAGGTGCGCGGTTACTGTAGGATAACACAGCATCATTATAGTAGAAGTTTTGCTTAGATGAGCAAAAAGTGCTGGTTTCACTGAAGCAACTCTCAAACTGAGTAGTACTACTCTCTGCTTTACACCCAGGCCACACTTCTGAATCTCTACCTGTGCATGACAGCGACACTGCTTAACTGCTGTGGCTCACATGTGTGGTGTCCATATAGACAGCAGCACTGCCTACCAGTCCAATCTTTCCACACCAAGTCTGCCTTTGATAATGGCTATTAGTAAGAGAATATTATATTTCATTTTACTTATTAAAAGCTGGTACTCCACTAATTTCCACTGCATTTTCCATAACATGGTCCTGCAAATATTTAACTGGATTCAGTCCACAGAATCGGTGGAGGGCTTTTAATCTGAAACAGAATCAGAAAGTGTTGAGTTTTTTCATGTCTGTGGCATATTGTACAGATACAGACACTGAAACTGCAGTGAAAGGTGTGACGTTAGTAATATGTCACTATGACATTTAAATATTGCTTAGAACGGCACGCATTTCGCAGAATACAAAGCCAATACACCGAATATCGAGACGAGCCACAGCCGAGCCACGCTGCGCATGTGGGCAGAAATGAAAAGCAAAAGGTCCCGTGACTCATGCTGTGCTCAGGTAGCCAGTGTGGCCCGGGCGTTACACTACTGTGCAGGTTCCTATGAGTTATGTGTGTCACATCCCCCCAGTGTGTCTGCATTGAAGTTAACAATAAGGAGCATCCACTACAGAGGACAGACAAAGTTATAACTGCCTCAATTTAATTCAAAATTGAGACAATAAAACTGGATGAAAGCACTGCCAGGTATAAGCTCTGCCTTGATAACTGACAAGAGAGGTTGCCTTTATGACAGAAGCAACAGTGTGACTGAAGAAGCCAAACTCAATCAATCAATATAAATACAATATCGCACAGGTGAAGATGCCTTTTTATAGTTTTAAATGGCAGATACTTGAACAAATCTCAATCAGTCCCCCCTATTGCATGTAAATGTCAGTGTCTTTTCATTTTGGGGAACTTTTAATCACATTTAAGTCCATGCATTATATACAATATGAATAATATAATATGAAGTAGCAACAATGCAACCAGTACAAAACGAAAATAAAGCTGTCCTGGCTGGTGAGTCAATGTACTGCATGTAATCTAAGGTTGCTGTGGCAAATAATCCCCCTTCAACATATTGATTATACACTTTGTTGTAAGGTCATGCACATGAGCATGTGCAATGTTTGATTTAGTTGATATTTCCAGCTGTAAAAAGGTACAATCCTGAGGTGTATTGGCGTCTCATCTACCACTACCAGTGCCCCAGATGCTGACCCAAATCTCACTCAGTACAGTAACAGCAGAGGATAGAGAGACCCACTTAGATTTCAGGGAAAAACCTATTACACAGCAGAAAAACAGCAGAGAAAAACACTGTACATACACAAACCAATGTAGGCCACGCAGTCATTATGGGGCAGGCAGACTCTCTTCAATAAACAGTTTAAAAGTTGTTATGAAAACGTGTTGCTTATAAGCATTTCGCACAAGGATGAGTGCATGTCTATTGCAAAAAATTCTGATACGAGTGCCCAATTGATGATCTGGTCTGAAACCATTTGCACACATACACGTACACCATGTTGTATATCAGATTCAGAGAGCTGACTCAAGGTCTTCCTGGTCCAACGTGACGTCATCATAGCTCCACATGACCTTATCCCAAGATTCCATGGAAGACAAAAAGCGCTTCCCTCAAAACCGGTTCAAACTGGTCCGGGATTGAGAGAAGGCGCAGGTTTAACCCCTGGAGAGGCAGAGTGGCAGAAGGGAGGGAAGAAGACAGGGAGGCCACAGGCACATCCCACACTGACAGAGGAGGAGGAGGAGGAGGAGGAGGAGGAGAAAATGACGTTGTCCTCGGACATTCCAAAATGTGTCTACGAGTCAACAGGGGGGCGGACACATCATTGACATGACTAACTTCTGTGGAAGTCAAGTCAACAGCTGCTGACGGGCATAAAAATCCTGACATCCAAAACCCACCTTTCATGATATTTGATACTCTTAAAAAACATCTTACATGTTTTCTCTGCCATCTTCTCAGGCTTCAAAGATTAAGGCAAGCGAAGGTCATAATTCACCATAAGAATCTAATGTATACAAAACCTCCCACTATGAGCCTGTCATCTGTAAAGCAAAGCGTTGAGAAAACTGCAAGATAAGGTGGGGAAATGAAACTGCTTTTCAGCAACTTCGACAAATCGCTGTCTGCAGTGAGGCTGCAGTTTGTTCCTACAATTCACATCTGTGAATTCAGCCAAGTTTTATTTTTACTGGAGATAAGACACAGGCATCCTTGACACTTTGCAAGATGTTGAGCTAAGAGATGCAAGCAGTAACAACACCAACGAATACAGCCAAAAAAGTACCTACACAGCTAAAACATTCAGGTCTGTGTTTGTATACGAGTGCACGGAGCCTAAAATGGACCCTGCTCTGGTACACAGCAAGGATAGATGTGCCCTGCTGTACCATCCCTGGACACAAAGGCTATCTATCTGCCAGAGATGACAGCTTGTGTGTGGGTGGGTATGTGTGCATACCCATATACCACACACAATGCTTCAGAAACCACACTTTACTGTGTAAAATTGTAGAACTAGTGGCAGCACATTGCTCTGGCTGTAACGGTGTGGTGGCGAAGCGTGTCAGATACAAAATGACTGTAACCCTTTGGGACGATACAGGAGGATCAGATCTGCACGTTACTACGACGACTGTGGTTGCTAGTTTCAGGTCTAGGGACATGTGGATACCTTTGACCCAGAGAGATGGAAAGCATCATGGATCCTGTGATTCATGTGCTGGATGCACTGCTGCTAAGCAACCAAATCAAGTTGTTGTCCATGCATATGTTGTGATTATGACTCTTAAGTATGCACTCAAACCTGCTGGGTTGTGCGTAGTACTTCACATTGTTGGATCGCTATCCATTTTACTAAGCCTTCAGTGAAGGACTACCAATCAGCCCATTTTCTATCCAGCGCCTTGGTTTCTATACGAGCCCTGAGGCCTTTTGTGTGATGTGTCATTCACAACCTCCAGGTTATAGGAGACTCACACTAAGAGCTATCGAACACGTGAAGGAAACAAAGAAACTGTAGGAGATTCATCTAGAGAAAGCCTGGCCGTCAAACACAAGAGTCTATCGATGCCATTCACAGTGACACCCGAGAGGACTGGAGGGCAGAAAAAACATGGCATCAGTACCAGGAGCTGAGATAGTGTTGCACTGAGACACTGCTCAGAGTATTGCTGATGACAGGAGACAAAGACAAAAAGGACAAAAAGGCATTTAACAAACGTGAATGAGCCAAAATTAAAACTTACATGTTCAATTGCTGGATCCCTGGTTCTGAAAACCAGTATGAGTTTAAACAGAACATCTCAGAGAGTATATATTTTTACGCAGCATCCTTTGCTTTAACTTGAGTAAACCAGTTTTGTTTGAAACAGGACATCAGGAGTTTGTATTTTATGGCCAGGCAATCAACTGAGAAAAGATCCTGAATCAATCAGTGCTAGCAGCATTCCTGCCAGTTTCAATGCTCCCACAGCTCCATCCATCCAGCGTGTAAAACCAAATGAAACTGACACTACAATCTCACAAACGAGCCTGACTTGTCCATCAGCGGGTCCATCGGGAGATGCTTGGAGGAAACTGGTACCCCAGACCTCACTGCCTGGGAATCAGCAACCAAGAGGAGCTACTCTGCCTGTTAGTGTCTACAACAGTTTATCAGAACACCACTGCAGTTGGGCTTGGACTACAGGAATTTAAGAAACGCTGACTGATTTTGAAATTAGGTTCATAGATATCTGCTCCTGAAATAAGAAGATGGGATACATTTTCTGTACATTTTGAGTCACATTTTATCTGCATGGCATGCATCTTGTTTTTGGGAGGAAATTCAAGCACCATCAGTTCAAAGAAGCTGAACTTCTGTTGCCAAGAAGATGCACCACTACTACATCACAATATACATCTGCATTAGGGATGTCAGTTTCTGTTAATTTTGCTTTTGACAGCCCCACACCCATTAACAGTTAACTAACGGGTTAATTCTAAAGGATAACAAAACAAAATGATGTGAAATACAAGAGGTTTTTACTTTTAGTTCGGCGCTCTATTTGGTCAGTAAGCTTTAGCACCGTATTTCAAAGCGCTATCCATTTAGAGGTCGGGAAATTAGCCACATTAACACGCAGACACATAATGCCCACTGCCCACCCTCCGGTCTCCACAGGTTAGCTGAAGTTAGCCTGTGCCATTCTGCACGTCGCACCACCCAGGCTGGGTGAGAGCTAGCTAGTGGCATTGCCGCAGAAACATGGTAGCCATCCTCCAGTCTCCCATAGGGCTGTCACTTTTTCAAAAAAGTCAAGGCTGAACGAATTTACAATGACCCGAATTTCGTTCGAATAAATTCAAAGAAGAGTAAGACAGCTGCTTTTTACAAAGTCGACAAACAGCCTTATCTTTGTGCGTGACTTTGCCATCTATGGCGTAGAACCCAAAATACTTCCATACGCTGCTTCTCAGATGTTTTGGTGTCGTGATTGTCCGCTCAGGACGGCTTTACTCGCTATTGTCCCCCATTTTCGTAGCAAAATACCACATTAACATTATCTTTGTTTAGCGATAGGTCAGTAAGGCATGCAATAGGTCAACATGATAGTGAATTCTTAGAGCGCCCTCTGTTAGATCACAAGGCAAACTACAAAACCCAAAACCAGTGAAGTTGGCACGTTATGTAAATCGTAGATAAAAACAGAATACAATGATTTGCAAATCCT